ATGGGATATTTGCCATACTTTGAACACCATACCAAAACTAGTCGCATACAGACTATTTGCTATAAATGATTACATACAATGTATAGAATCGCTGAATATATAAATTAATCAAATTTGCAAGTCCACCAAAAGCTATGTAAAAAAAACTTTGCCCTACCACATGCATGGTCCACATAATAAGTATACGTAATAAGATRGTTTCGAGTTCAATTTGGAATTAATTTGCACGAGTTTGTTTTGCAAAGAGGTCATAATTGCGTGAGGCCATTTTTTCATGTATATTAATATTATTATAGCATAGGCAGCCTACCTCTTGCATGCATCATTTATGCAATTATTTTCTGTACTTTATTGGATTTTATTAATTCATATACATATTGATGAATAAATGGGAAAAAAGCGAAAACACAAGAAAACAGCATGCGCGCGCTAAATTTACCTGATTCTTTGCTTGATTTACTTTWGTGCYTGCCAGGCTACTAAAGTATGAAACACCGGTCAAGTGACAAATCTTATTTAGTGCTGTTATATCTCTCCAACGATAACAGAAAACGACAATTTTATTTACAATAATGAAGTGTACTATATGTACTACTTCATGAGTTTGAGTCTTCGACTTTTAATGTACGACGAGAAAATGATAATCAAGCATTTCACTTGCGATGGACCTATGTGTGCACCAGGTAGATGGGACAGTCCATTCGCAAAGGCTTCGGAAGGCTTCGAGAGCTGTCGCAAAATACGAAGTGAAACGAAAGTACTTTTTGTAGCTGTCGACGAAGGTTCGGCTTTGGTGACACCAATATCTTACGCATTACTTGCGCTTGTGCTGTCGCCATTTTACGTAAAAAGCATCCGTAAAAGAGCTTTTTCGTGAATTTTTTTCTAAAATGAGCGAAATWACGTTAAATTTCGAGCAGAAAAGGCCGTAGACCTTGTTAAGTCTGGCCATAATGTTTTTGTAGGTGGCAGAGCTGATACAGGGAAAACGTACACTGCGAAATACTKCGTAAAGCTGAGCAAAAGTCAGAAGAAGGTGTCCATTATTTGTTTCACAGGAATGGTCAGTACTTTGTATGAGCAGTTGAAAACTCTAAAATCGTTTGCAGGACTCAAGAACTCGAGATTGGACTTGGATGCCTTGGTTTTATCCGTAAGGGAAGCTTTGAAAGATAAACAGACAATGAAGGGAGGGGGAGGGGGGGTCTCTAAAGCCTTTGCTGGCTTGAAGGGAGTTTGAAACACAAAATTAAAGTATGCATAATATATAATATCATTTTGTTTGTTTTTTATTCATTTCTTATCAATGATCATTTTAAACAACAACTTAACTTTCTTTCATATATAAGTCTAATTACATAAGCATTCCCTAGCTTTTTTGGGACTCCTTTTAAAGTTTTAACATTAGCTATTTTACTTTTCTTTATACATATGGGGGAAGGGATTATTTTTCTTCAATGTCAGAAGGAGGAGGGGGGGCTCGAAAAAAATATTGTGAGTAAGATGGGCAGCGAAATTTCCCAAGGTTTTTTGACTTTTCCTCCAGACCAAATCGATTTCCCGTATGTGCAGACGCGTTGTAGGACCTTGTAGTCACGACAAAATTGTCGGGAATATTTCTGCGCTTTGATTTCGCTCTCCTCTGGATTTTTTGCTTGTGATTTCTTTTTCTAATATTATTAATTTGGAAACGTTTTGTTTGAGGAAAAAAATTCGAAGTTTCAACAGATATTTTAGCGCTTTTTTTTCCTTTTCGCGCGGAGTATGGATTTCCTGTGTTGGTACACGGACGGAAGGAAGTACAACTGGAAGGAAACGTACGTACGCGCGGGATCCCTGTGTCGGTCCATGAAAAATGGACTCGATGGATATACCATTTTTTCATAGCTATGGTGCTCCGCTCGCACGGCGTCCAAGGAAAAAGAACTTTTACTATTTAGGAATTAATCAAAAATAATGCAAAAGAAAATGTTCAGCTTTA